AAGGAAGAGAGGACTTAAGCAAGGGGATCCTATGTCCCCATATCTCTTTGTGCTTGTAATGGAATATTTGACAAGAATTTTGCTAGAGTTAGGGGGAAATAAGGATTTTCAATATCATAGGTGTAGGAAGTTAAAGTTGACACATCTAATTTTTGCTGAAGATGTGATGATTTTTTGCAAAGCTGATAAGGCTTCTCCTCTTAGTATTAGAAGGTTGTTTGATAAATTTTCTATGGCTTACTAGCCTTGTTATTAATAGCTCAAAAAGCCAACTGTTTTTTTTGGAGAAGTGTCAAATGTGTTAAAAAGGCACATTCTAATTCAACTAGGGTTCAATGAAGGGCAATTACTTGTGAAATATTTGGGTCTGCCTCTTGTTTCTACTAAGCTTTCTACTATTATATGCTAGCTAATGGTGGATAGAATTAGACATCATATCTATTCCTAGACTTCCAAATTTCTTTCATATGCTGGCAGAATTCAATTGGTGAGCTCTATATTGTTTCATATCCAAGTTTTTGGAGTAAAGCCTTCTTGCTACCAAAAGAGGTTATTAAGAGTATTGATGCTACTTGTAGGAATTTGGTTTGGATAGGAAAGTGGGACCAATCAGCAATGGCAGTTGTGACTTGGTCAAAATTTCTATTCCTAAGACTAAGGGAGGTTTAGGAGTTAAGTAATTATCTAGTTGGAATTGAATTGCTTTGTGTAAGTAATTCTAATAAGCGAGGAAAACATATGGAAAGTGAAGTTACCAAATGATTGTTCCTAGTCCTAAAAGCAATTTTTGAAGATGAAAACTATTATTAAAGACCAAGTTTTGGCTCAGATTGGGATGGTAGGCAAAAATCTCTTTTTTATGATACATGGTTGGAGGGTGGAAGAATATGCGATAGGGCACAATTTGGAGAAGAGTTGATGGTATAGGGGCATGGTGGTGTTGTAGCTAAATGCTAGGATGCTAGTGCGTGGCATGTACCATATAGTTTCACTTGTAGGTACCTTTCTTTCGCCTAGTTGATTTTATCTAAAAGTCTCCAAGATAGGGAGGATGAGGTCTTGTGGAGCTTACTATATCTGGTTGCCTTTTCTATTACTAGTTGCCATAAGTTGTTGAGGGTTAAGAAATCAAAAGTTAATTAGCATAAACTAGTTTGGTCAAGTGGAAATTTTCCTTAGCTTAGTTTTATCCTATGGTTGGTTCTACGAGGTAGACTAAAGACCAAAGTCTTGTTGGCATCAAGGGGTTTGTTAATTGATTTGCAATGTTGCTTTTGCAAGGTAAGTATGGAAAATATTAAGCATCATTTTTCTAGTGTGAATTTCCTAGGGATACTCGGAAGCTTGTCTTGGAATTTTTTCAAATTAAGAGGAAACCTTTGTCCTAGACCAATGAATGGAGATGGATACTATGATAAGGAAAAGGAAGAGCTATTATTAAGAAGAAGCTCTATGTAGCACTACATATGGCAAGAAAGGAATATGAGATTGTTTTAGGAAAAATCAAGTCCAATAGAGAACATTCATAGAAGAATTTCTTATTTTTTGCAATTTCAATTTTGAGAATTAGATGATATGTTAACCTCAGGTTTTCTTGGGTGATTATTGTAGATATGTGGTTTCAATGCAATGGAAAAACTTGCATT